GGCCCCATGAATGAGGCCTTTCATGGCCATGGTACAGGGACCCTATTTTTTCCTAAAGAAACGCTTCACTTGCTTTCAGAAGTGACGACCAAATGTGAACTTTCATGGTTTATTTATAGCTCTGCCTTATAGAGAGAAAGAAAAGAAGTGATTAAAATGCTATTTTACAAAATATTTTTGTTTTTAAAAAGCTTCCATTGTGTGGGCTAAAAGGAAAAAAGAAAAGTCACTGTATTCATTGTGCTGTCTAGACTGTCAAACAAAGAGGGTAGCGTGCTGCAAATTAAGATTGTCCGGCTCCTGCCTGCTGACAAAAAGTTTGAATTTAGAGGCCAACTTCAAATAAACCCCTCTGGAACAGAAATATATTGTGGGGGGTGACTATATTTAGCTCGGTCAGCATTTCCATAATAAATTCATATTGTTATGTTGTGGTAATTTCCAGATTTACTGCAGCCAGTGGGATCATGAGATTTCAGTTTTATGTTAATTATTTGGAGAAATTGAAAAACTCAGCAGTGTTATTTCTGATGACAGCAGTGATTCTCTCTGGGCATTCTGCATTTTGTGTCAAGTACCCATAATAAACCCTGCCTTCCAGGAGAAGAGAAAGTGAGCCCAAGTCATTTTGACTGCCTGTGTAAGCATAACTTTTTTAATGTAATGCAGTATATATTGTGTCCTTACCATTATAAAATCGATATATGCCACTGTAGAAAATTTAGAAAACATAATACACAAGTTCACAAGAAAAAGTATCACTTATGCTTTCCAACCTGTGAGTACTTTGTAATATATTTTCATCCAGTCTTTATTATGTGTATGTAACTTGCATTTAACAGATGTGTAAAACAAACAAAAATTGTGCAACACAAGTACAATTCTTGAGGTAGAATCAAAGGTCAACTTTATTTTTTATTCCTGCTACCCCCTTAGGTGTATGCAGTGGAGCTAGTTTTTCCCTGCCCTGGTTAAAAATTCTAGTGGCTCAATTGCTTTTTTTAGATAAGTACAAAATCACTTAGTTAATGCAAGTTTTATGATCCCCATAAGTTGTGAAACATAGCCACAATTCAGAAATTCAAATACCTAAGAATATATAAAAGTAAAGGTAAGATGTCTCCAATTCCTCCAGCTCTCGGGTTTGGCATAAATGAGAAGTAGCCTTCTTTCATTTTGCTTCCTCATTCACTTTCTCTCCAAGATATTAGCCTTTTTCTTATTCCTCTCAAGTGGTTAGAAGGGATAAGGGAAGAGAAGCAAAGAGTGTAGGAAAGTACTTATCTGATCAGTACTGTCATAATGGACTTCGTGTTCTCTTAGCCCAATAGCACTTTTCTCATAAGGCTCCATCATAGGTGTTTTTGTTGAAGACCCTCTACCTCTGAAAACCTCTCACCTGGAATACCTTATCTTGGCTAATGTCTCTTTATTCTAGTAGATTGCTTACTCTTCTCTTAATTCCTTAGAAGTCTGGTTGTTCATCTCTAGCTTCTTTATACAGATTCCTTCTGCCTCATTAGGCAGCCATATTGGATAGGATCTAAGACAACCCATGACAAGACAGCTCTCACACAATGGCCACCTAGAGTTTGTGAGAAGCAGTCAAGCCATTAGAAGCCTGACAGACTCTGGCAGTGATGTTTGAGCCCAAGGCAACCTCTCCTACCCTTCTACACCTCAGCTCCCAGCCAACCTGTCTCCTCTAGGTAGGAATCACACAGACTCCACTGTGTGCCATAACCTCAGGGACACGCATCAAGTTCTCAGTGAAGCCCTGTTGACTCGTGGAGGGAGAGGATCCCTTCACACCTCACCTTGGAAGGAGGTCTGATGCACAGTAAGCCAACAGCTTTTTCCTAAAGATCTATCTCTGTCTGACCTTCCATGTGGATGAAAGGTTGAAGAGTTGATTAATGGGCCCTCAGGCACCCTTTTTACAAATTCTTCAGGGTGGTCTGTTTTCCAGCTCACTTTGGTATCTTATATCTGTCATCTTTAGATCTCAGCCAAAACTTCCATTTTAACATTCTGTCACGTGTATCATCCTTAAGTTCATTCATTCAGTAGACATTCCCTGAGTGCATACGATATGCCAGATGCCGACTTTGGCAGTGAAAATAATTATAACAATTCCTGCTTTAAGGAGCTCACAGTCGAGTTGGAGAAGCTGATCTGTTAACAAAAAATTATGGTGCCATGTCATAAATGCTGTGATAGATGGAAGCACAAGTTGCTGGGGGAGCAAATAACTCAATCTAGGTGGGAGGCAGGCAGTAAGGATGAGTCTGAAAAAAAAATCTCAGTAGTGTAGATACATGAGCTAAGTTGAACACTTAAATCAGTACTTTTTGAGAAACAAAATAACCTCTTTTTAAACCTTTGAAATCTCTGTTGCTGGTGTTTGCTTCTTAGTCACTTATTTTTAAAACAAGGAAAGGTGATGCAAAGAAAGGAAGAAAGAATTCCCCGATGTCTGCCTGTTATCCAGACATCTGTTACAGTGAGCAGGAAAATGACATTTACGGAGAACTTTGTATAATACCACTTTCCTGAATCCCACCCATGAGGACCATCCTGGAATGTTGTCTCAAGTCTGGAGCCTCGGCACTCCCAGGAAGAGCCTTCCCAGAAGGCATTTTCAAGATTCCGCTTTGGTGACAGGAGGCAATGTTCTCCCTAGAAGCACAGCAGAGCGCAACTCAAGGAAGAGACGAGGAAAAACAAAAAGAATGGCAAAGTTGGTGATGGGGATTGCTGGGTTCATCTTAACAAGATACGGAGGGGCCTGTTCTGAGGGAATCAGAACTTAGACTATGAAGGAATGTGTTCTGTTCAGAGGAATGGCAACAGCTTCACTAAGATGTGTTTGACTGTTTGGCCCATCACAGAATGGCTCAATGTAGCCCTTTTCATTTTTGTCTTTTCTCCATGTTTTTGTTTTGTTTTTTAGTTTTTGTCTTTTCTCCATGGTTTCCTTGTCAGTAATTTTGAAAATCTTTTCCCTACTCAAGGCTGCCATTTCTTTCTGCGTCAGTATGCTTACGACTCTTTGCAACTCTGATCTCCCAATCAGCACTTTCAAATCTGTTGAGAGCTAGAAAACCAGATAACTAGTTCAGAATGTTCAGTCCTTCCTTGGGGAAGAGTCAGATGAGCAGCCTAGCAGGAGTGGAAATTTGTGTACATTAGCAGATGAAAAAACTATCAGGTTACCTAACCTTGAGTAACTATTGAAAAGAAGTTTATCCGCTTCACACAAAGTATTGATCACACTCTGTTTTGATCACAGTAGGTGTCTTTTCCATTCTGGGGTGAGCACCTTGATGAAAGGCCCATGCGCTCTTCCTCTCTGTATTCCATATAGATTGAGTGCTGTGCTTGGCACATAAAAGGGGCTCAGTACATTTTATGGAAATTCTGGATGTCGAGATTCAGCAGTAAACCAACAAAGCTCCTGCTCTATGTAGTTTGCATACTGGTAAAGGCAAGCGGTGGAGAGGACAGATAATGAACACATAGACCAGTAAATACAGAGGTAATTAGTGCTATGCCACTCAATCAGTCAGTCACAGTAAGATGGCACAGATAGATGTCGGGGGGAATACTTGGATATGTTTTGAAGATACCCAGGGGTTCTCACATTCTGTGTGGTAGTCAGCTTTTTGTGTTCTTTCCTCCCTTGTTAGTATGTTCAGGGAGGACAAAGAGTATGTTGTGTGCAAATCTGTATCCCTACCACAGTGTCTGGTACATAGCGAATGATTAATAAATGTGTGGAATAAGGAGTTATATGCATGTGATCCCAGAATGACCACATCCTTCACAATAAGAATTCAGTAGCTGTTCCTAAGACCGGGCCTATTCTGTGGAGCTTTGTCAATCTTCCCTAGTCAGGTCTGTGGAACTCCAGAGTCGAGGTTCACTTTGCTCCCCTTAGCTTTTTCGCAGCCTGAACAGCCTTAGGAGACTTCCTGAGGGAACCTAACCCTTCCACTCAGGTAATGGAGCCAACACAATCTATGGCTGATCTTGACGCTGTGCACACCATACCATATTTATCCAGATGCTATAACATGTCATCTTCCTGAGTGCCCACTGTAAAGACAAAAATGTCTGGAAGACACATTCCAGAACTCGGGTCAGTTAGACTCAGTCAGTCCAGAGGTCTCATGTCTGAACTCATGACTTCAGAGACTGAAGGAAAAGGAGCTGAAGTTGAATTGAAGGAGACTTGAATATTGTATCCTAAAATACAGGCGTAAAGTGGGTTTCATTCGGTTATTGTCATCTCTAGTTAAGTGGACAACATACTCAGCAGCTGATGATGTTGCCTTTTTACGCCTCCATCCTGGTAGTGAAGAGGGAAATAATTCCTCCTACTGATCCCTGGAGGGAGTCACAGAAGTTTTTTGCCTTCTGGGTTATTGATACCCTGGAGGTCTCAACACACAACTATTTATTAAGTCCAAGACGTGTGATCATGGATGTAACTTTAAATGTTCATTGGGTTTTATTCTTACTACCAGATAAAAATAAGTTTAAAAAATTGGACTAACTGAAATCTTTTCTTTTCTTTTTTTTTTTTAAATTTTTATTTTTTGAGTTGGAGTCTCACTCCGTCACCCAGACTGGAG